GTGTTTATTAGCAGCATGGCCAGTGACTCTAAAACCTCCCCCTTCACTTTCCAATCTTCCCACCTTTTGGCGAGGAAAAACACAGACAAGCGTGATTTTACCCGCCCTGCCCTAATGTCGCTCCCCACTTCCAATTCCTAGCCGCTGGGTATGCAGAAATTCCTCTGCCCGCCCCCCCGCTATCAAAAGCTGCCCCCACATCACACGAGCATCACACGAGCAGACTGTAGGGCACGCTCACAGCACAATCATCAATCACCATCCACCACTCTTAAACAACCACTCCCCAGGGGCTGGACCACCCAAGGGGATTGGGAATGTCAACCCAGTCTTGGGCTGGTGCATGTGTAGCGGCGGGCGGGGGGGGGGGGGGGGCCCTATGCGGCCTCTGATAACTAAAGCTTTTCCATTCCTCTGAGCGAGTCTGGTATTTAAGTGCCTGCTCCCATGATGCATCACTGCACCTGGGAAGAGACCTACATATGAACACCTATGTTAGACTAATAAAAAAAAAGAAAAAGGGGGGGGTTGGCTACAATGATCAAAGCTGTGTTATGGAGAAGGAAGGCTGCTGAACACTATGGAGATCACCTCCCTGAGATGTTTCATGTTTCGCATGTATGAAACGTCAGATATTACCGCCAGGCTGGCAGCTCCAAACCGCCGCATCTTTTCTGAGTGAGTTTGGAACATCTCGGTTTTCAGATTCTCACACTGCGCTCAACCCCTCCCAGCGGCAGCAGCGGCGGCTGATTAAACTTTAACACGCTCGGCGTAACTGCCCATGGTGCAGATCCAGCCCTACAACAGAGAAGTCCTGTTTTCCCGATGCGGAGTCGCGTTAAATATTTATCACCGCGATTGTTAAATGACAGAAAGGGCTCACGACGGGAGCAGTTTGCTTGCCGGGGTTTGCAGCACGCGGGGGGGGGGCTGCCGGCTCGTGCCCCTGGCTTTCAGACGCGGGAGGGATGCAAGTCATGGATTTCTGCAGAATTAATATTAAGCAGCAAACAGTAAACACATTTTTTGGGAAAGGCTCATATTTATGACTCACGCAGAATTTGTCCTCAATTCTTAAAGATTATTATGCATTTATTTTCTGTTACTTGCTATTCCCACCTCCTATGACAACATACCACGCTACAGATGTTTTATTTACAGGTTTTGGGTGAAGCTGGGCGCTGCAATGCGAACTCGCAAACCGGCCGACCCCCTTCCCAACCGTCAAAACCAGGGAAGCTACATCCATGAAGAATGAGGCGTCTACAGATACGAAATCAGCACGTTCTCCCGTGACATTTCCTCATGTTATTCTAATGACCAGCTGCCCCCCCCCCCCCCCCAACATGGAAGCGCTCCATTTTGTGTGTCATGGAACAATCTAACTTCATCCATCAAAATTACTTGCAGCACAGATCATAAAGTCTTAACTTATTTTCGAAGTTCAGAAATAAATTCTAAGCTAAAGAATTCAACTGGAACTAAAAAGGTCAGAGAGCGTATAAAACGGAGCCTGTTCACAAATCAATTAAACAACGGAACCCAGTGGAGCATCCCCATTGTTCTGAACAGGCCAGACTGAGGACATTTTTCAGCCCAAATGCCATACTCTTGGACCCAGACTGATGATCCATTCGCAATCCTGTCTGCAACAACCGGCCGGACTCACGCTGACTGGCCTGGAAATAGCGGACCTGACAGCGGACCTGACAGAGGTCACGTACGCGGCGTGGTGGCACGGGGACATCGCGACACAGGCCGGTGACACGCAGAAACATGGGCGAGGGATTAGTGAACCCAGTGGGGCAGACCTCTGAAGTAAAGGAAACTGCAGCTCAAGGAGACTAAGAATTATTTGGGGCGAGGGGCGGTGGGGGGGGATACAGACAGCGAAAAAGAAATAAGCGGAGCAGAGCCTCAGAGAAAAAGTGCTGATGCTTACAGAATCAGCCAGCTGCTGTTTTTTTTTTTTTTAGAGGGGGGTAAAGGTAATTAGTCATTTCTGATGGCGTACCTGAACAGACGTCTAAAAATAGGGCCCGGCCAAGGGGCAGACTTGCTGGAGAGCAGCTTCCTGATTCCCGGCCCCCCATCTGCGCGAGACAGCAGCCGCTCACACAGGATTATTTATCCAAATGCTTCACCGTCTCGCCTTCGCCGCCCTCCTCCCCCGTCCCACCGGACTCGCCCAGCACTGCGGCGTCAGGAATTTTGTTTATCCCCATAGACAAGGGACCTGGAATTCTTCACAGATAAATCAGGCTCCACGAACCTATGGAAAAACGTGGATCTGACACCCTCCCTCTTTAAGTGGGACCCGGCATGTGCTGCAGTACCGGAACTAGCAAGAACTTCTCCGCCACTTCACTATGGGAATCAGGGATTGACGAGGAATTGCAACCAATCCCAGGCATGGACCGTTGCTGGGGCCCCATCACAATGTGACCGATGTGGGACTCGGCGCGTGACGCCCTTACATAGGTGTGCATGAGGCAACAGGAAGTTGCTGTCCCCCGACACGCTGTCGGCGCCACCTCATTCTCAGAGATGAGACCGAGCACCGGTCCTCAGTGGGCCCCCACGCCCCAGGATCTGCTCGTAACGGCATCACATTATTAGGCAGGCAACAGCTGGATCCCATTACTGGAGAAAAAAAAGTGAAATTAATAACAGCTCACCCCCACCCTAAAAAAAAGAAGGGCATAAGAGGCTGAATCAAGCTTCACCTCACACGCTCACACTGCTGTCTATAGCATTTTTTTGGGGGGGGCTGGACTTGACCATGGAGCAGCAAACAGGATCGCTCTCTCCCCTCCTAACTCCTGACAACTTGTCATCTTTTAACTTGTGCATGATCCAGCTAATTAGACTGGGAACCACAGGGGAAATTTACATAAACCTGACGAGAGGTGTTTTCTTTTTCTTTTTTTTGCGAACGAGTTGGGGGGGAGGGGAGGGGGGGGCTAGCAGCAATGCTGCCATATGCTGATAGCCTGGCTGCAATTAATTCTTATTTAGCTGGGGTCCACAGCGCTGGGGAGATGAGGGGAGAGCTGAAGGGTGGTGGAAGCAGGAAGATGACATGAAGGAGCATGCAGGAGTGGAGGGAAAGGAAACAGCCCCCCCCCCCCCACGCCGGGACCAACTCCCTCCAGCCCTCATGATCTCATACCATTCCTACAGACTGGTCCCCAACTGGGACATGCAGCCACTACACCCAGTATGGCCAGTGGAACAGCTAATATGAAGAGTAAGCAAAACGGTTAAGGACACGGAGCGCCATTACAGACCGCCCACTGGGTCCTGAACACCACGGGGAACAGGGGTGACCTCTGCCTGATGACACAGGACCAGGACCAGGACCAGGACCAGGACCAGGACCAGGACCAGGACCAGGACCAGGACCAGGACCAGGACCAGGACCAGGACCAGGACCAGGACCAGGACCAGGACCAGGACCAGGACCAGGCTCATTGGCCACGCGAGTTCGCACTCAAGGAAATGTGCTGGCATGTCAGAAAACAACTAGGAAACAGTCCAGATAAGACAACAGAGAAACACCACATCTCATTGCCAGCAGCAACGTAGAGGCACATTAAATAGTAAATAAGTTGGAGTAAATAAATGTGCACAGCTGCATAACTGCAGTAATAGTACACTTCTGTCTTAGCGGGAACGCACTGCCAGCTGCTCAAGGCCACTGTTCCTCATTGAAGAAGCTCCCTTTTTGTGTTGCAGTCCTGGTTTAAGTGACTGGGATCTCAAGCCAGAGGTGGGAGGCGCTGAAATATGCTGTAGGCAGGGTTAAGGGGCCAGCGATGATCCTGCTCGTGAAGGTCCCAGCCGGCACCTTCCATGAGGCTCTGGAGTTTGGTCACGTCTCATTACTGCGCTGCACCCAACCTGAACCAGGTGATGATGTGAGGATGGACTCTGAGATGGAGCAGTAGACAGGACTGGGGGTGTCTTCTGCAGTCTAGAGTCATCTTTATGGTCTTCAGAGCATTAAGCTCCACATCATGACGAATCCGCCAAAATGACCCACTTATGTACTTCCTATCTATATGCAGACTCGTAACCATCGCTTATAAGCCTGATTGTCATAGCAAATTTCAGGGCCTTACTGGTTGTCACTAGAGACACCGTGATTTGTATAAACATAGCAGAGCAGGAGGGGGGCACACAGTCCTGTCTGACACCAGTGCTAAGGGACAGAGCCTCACGTGCTGCTTCCTGTCGGTCAGGAAGTAGCTGACCCAGCAACAGAATGTCGGTATAGCTGAAGGCGTTCCGGATGTACTGTACTGAACACAGAGCTGAGCAGTAAGGCACGGCTGCGCGTCCCTGCTGCTACAGGACGTTACACGGGTGCAGAAAGCCAAGGCGCTGCTATTGCCCCCCCCATCAGTCAGCGGGGTCTAACACGGAGGCTACCGCTAACACAACACATGGGAGGCGGGAATAACCGGCCAGCGACACACATGAAAAAATAAAACGATTGAAGGTTTCGAGGCCTTGGTCAGCCCGTGACTATCGGCAAGACAGCATGTCACGCTGTAAGGGCTGGGGTCAGACCCGTCGGACCGGAACCGGGGAGAACTGCGGATAAAGTGGTCTCTTCAGGTGTCCAATTAAAACAAACAGTGTGCTGAGAAACTTTCTCTATTTTCCCAGCGATGGATTGGGAGTGGGCTTGTTTATCTCTAATTAAGGGTGCTCCTCGCACGGCTTGCCACGATGATTCTGCGACGGGCGACGCAGCCAATCACAGTCATCCCTCTGCCTTAAAGTCTGACGGCATGTGGAGACGATCTGCTCTCGTTAATCTCGTAGTTAAGGGAGAGGTTTTTTTTTTTTTTTTACCTTCTTAAAGGGGAAAGCAGAGTTGTGTCCTGTGTGTGAGGGAGACTGAAGGTGCCCGAGAGACACGGCCCCCACTGCGGCGAGTTGGTTTTATGGGGAGGGGGGGGGGGGTTTACTACGAAGAATAAAACGCAACTTAAACGGCGGGAACATATTCACTCTAAGGACCCAGCAGCGAGCACCACGGCCACGTCCGTCCGATGCAGGTGAGGGTTGACGTCACTTAGCCACAGAGATGAGGAAGAGGACTCCTCCTGTCTGCCATCGTCACACCGGGGGGGTAGCAGATGGTGCCACGGTGACTGTCTGGCAGGACAGCGCACATCTTTGTGGCGCCCCGTGGATCTCACCTTGGTGACGGCGCTGCCCGCTGGTGGAGCGGCTGGGGTGCAGCACACGGGGCCCAGCGGAGGCTCAGAGACAGCGACAGGACGGAACTTTCTGGAAATGCGGCCCGACGCAGTGACCTTTCCCCAGCCCACCCCCCACTGCGTTTAGCGTAGAGAGACGCTGCTTCACTGGGAAGAAGGACCCCGAGAGTGAGCTTCCCTGCAGGAGAGCTCATCGCCGTAAGACCTGCACAGCCGGTATCACCCACAGGCCTGTAGGTGCGTTTCGATCAGCTGCAGCCGTGTCCACCCCCCCCCCCCCC